TAAATAGATCTTTGAACAGGCCCCCAGTTTTTAGACCCCCATCTTCTAGTTTACTTGCAACGTCCAATTCCCAAGCTTCTCTGGGGTTCTGAAAGAAGAGTCAGCTTGCTGCTGCTTCTTCTCCCTTTTTTTTTTTTTTTTTGATTTTTCTTTATTTATTTGACAGAAAGAAAGAGGACAAGCAGGGAGAGCAGGAGAGGGAGAAGCTGAGCAGAGAGCCTGGTGCGGGTCTTGATCCCAGGACCTGGGGATCATGACCTGAGCAGAAGGCAGACACTTCACCACCCAAGCCACCCAGGCACCCACCTCATCAGCTTGCTTCTTATGGGTATGTGCCTCTGGACATTTTGGGCCTGCCTTTCTTAGTCATTTGCCACTTTTGCATCCACCTTCTGTTTTCATATGATGTGATTTGGGATTTTAAGTGCCTCCTAGTTTAGCTAAAGATGGAGTTTGGGTTTCTATTCCTTATTCTCCATGTCATTTTTGAGGGAGGGGGGTGATTTTTGAGGAAAGAAGGAGATGGAAAGAGTTTTACTCCACCATCTTATGACCAGAAGTCAGAGCTGCCTCTTGAGGTAGGTGATAGTGATGTCTGTGCCCAACACTCTTGCTGCTCTGACAAAGAGGGAGTGGGTTATCTGTAGGAGAAAGGTGAGCAGGGGGCGGAGAGGAGCTTCCAGAACTTTGAGGAGCTGCTCTGGGAATTTGACTGGAGATCCCTCAGATGTGACAAGGATTCCTGGGCCCCAGGGAGGTCTAGTCGAGGTGAGACACTGAGAATCAGTGGTGAGTATAGCATGGGACAAGGATGGAGGTGGTGAGCAGTGGGAAGTAAGCTCCAGCTCACAGGAAGAGTGGGAAAGAGGTGAGGATGGGGGAATATTCTAGAACCAGAGAAAGAGGCAGCAGAGTGTCTGGCCTTGAGGTGGGCTATTCACCACGAGGCAGAAGAGGATAAGACAAGATTGAGAACCTCTAGTGAGATGTTGATTGTGGGCCAGGGACTGGATCACGTTCTTCAGGTGCAGGTGGAGCAGTGGGGGCAGTGGGAGCAGTGGGGGCAGTGGGAGCAGGGAAAGAAGAGGAAGAAGGAAAGGAGTCTAAGGTCCCTGCAGGAAGTTCTGACTCTCAGGACTTGGGGGATGGGGCAGGTCTGAGTGATGATGGAGGAGGGGGAGCTGCTCAGGAACAGAGCCACAGAGCAGCGTGTCCCCGAGGGTGGGAGGGGAGGGGGACGAAACAGCTGTGCACCTGCTCAAGGCTCCTGAAGGGAAGGCAGCCGGTGGGAGAGGCCCGTCATCTAGATGCACGGCCCCCGGAGAGGAAGGAGAGGACTTTATTTTATTTTATTATTATTTTAAAGTATTTATTTATGTATTCATGAGAGACACACAGAGAGAGGCAGAGACCTGGCAGAGGGAGAAGCAGGCTCCACGTAGAGAGCCTGATGCGGGACACGATCCCAGGACCCCGGGGTCACGCCCTGGGCTGCAGGCCGACTGGACCACAGAGCCCCCCGGCGCCCCGGAGGGAGAGAGTTTCACGAAGGACGGTGGTCCCTTGAGTCCAGTCCAGTGTGTACGGGCCGTGCCCGGGTGCCCGCCACGGGCCGCGGAGCTGGGGTGCGCTCGTGGGCCGCCTGCCTGAGCTCCAACAGCCCGCCTCCCAGACCCGCTGGCATCTCCAGGCCTTCCGCCGCCTTTTTTCTGTTGCTGTGAGCCCTGATTTTGCTCCTGGACGTACCCTGCCCTCCCAGGGAAGGAGCCCCCCTCCGCCCCAGGAGAGGAACACCGATGGGTGGCAGCGGCCCGTCGGGGTGCTTCTCCCTCTCCCAGCAGGTGGTTCAGGCCCTGGCGTGGGGTGTAGCCTGGCCCAGGAGCCCCACTAGGCCGGGGCTCCTGACAGGGCCACAGGCTGCAAGTTTGAGTGGGGCCTGGACTTTACAGAAGGTGGGATTAGCCCTCTCTGCCTCTGGAAAACGAGGCACTTGCCCATGGTCTAAGTCACTTTGCGTCGGTTTTCTGTGGCTTTCAACCAAGGGCCCTAACTCTCACATAAATACCAAGCATCTTCCTGGGCATTTGGGGGGGTGATCGAGGGGGAAATAGGCTGATAGCTAACAGGGTAGCATTAATAGGATTTCAAAATAAAGGAGGCCGATGGATCTTTTGGAGACAGAAGAATTACCTAATAGAGGAGGGTTGATGTGAGGGGGTGCTGGGTGGCTCAGCCGGCTAAGCGTCTGCCTTCTGCTCAGGTCATGATCCCGGGGTCCTGAGACTGAGCCTGCTTCTCCCTCTCCCTCTGCCTGCTGCTCCCCTGCTTGGGCTTTCTTCCTGTCTCAAACAAAGCTGAGAATTGACCGAAAGGGCTAGAGAGAAGGGGAACAGCCCAGGGAAGTGGTCACCACTCATTAAGCAGACATTGCTGTATCCTGGGCACCATGAAAGGGGCGAGAATGTAACGAGGAGCAGAAGGCAAGCTCCCTTGCCATAGCCAAACCTTCAGACCATGAGCACACAAATAACAAACAGGATAAGATGATGTAAGGTAATTGTAGGGGTGGTGGTGGTTAATTCTGAGAGATGGTAGTCAAGGATGTCCCCTCTGAAGACGAGACCCGAAGGGAGAATGAGCCAGCCATGTGAATAACAACGTAGAGATTTCCCAAAAATGGGGATCCCTGGGTGGCGCAGCAGTTTAGCGCCTGCCTTTGGCCCAGGGCGCGATCCTGGAGACCCGGGATCGAATCCCACGTCGGGCTCCCGGTGCATGGAGCCTGCTTCTCCCTCTGCCTGTGTCTCTGCCTCTCTCTCTCTCTCTGTGACTATCATAAATAAATAAAAATTTAAAAAAATAAAAAAAAAGAGATTTCCTGAAAATGTTTCAGGCCAGCAGTCAGGAGTTGAGCGTCCGTTCCAGAAAGGGAAAAGGCGGCAGTAAAGCTGGCCTTGGAGACTCGTGTGGGCCAGGAGTGACAGAGTAGCTGGAGACCTCCCTGGTGGCAGGACAGGCTGGGAACTTCAGTGTCAATGACTTTCTAGAGGCTGGAACGGTTTGAATGGAGTATTTGGAGCGAGAGCCTGCGGGTTGAAGGAAAGACATTTGGGGCCAGCGGATGACCTGGTCTCTGAGTGCTCAGCGACTTCCTTTTGCCCATCCGGTCCAGAATTCCAGCCTGTTCCCTGGTCTTAATAAGTCTTCGTTGGACTGCTGTCACAGAATGCCACAGACTGGGTGAGACGTGTATGTCTCCCAGTTCTGCAGGCTGGGAAGTCCAAGATCATGGTGCTGGCAGCTGCAGTGTCTGGTGCGGGCCTGCTTCAGACATGGCTGGCTTCTGTCCTCACATGGCAGGAGGAGTGGGAGAGCTCTGGGGGGGGGGGCGGGGGGTGTCTAATCCATTCATGAGGCTCCTGACTTAATCACATCCCCAAGGCCCAGCCTCTAATACCATCACTCTGGGTCTTAGGATCTCAACATATGAAGCTAGTGGGGAGACACATTCAGGGCACAAAACACAGCTCTGCTGGGTCAATAAGCACCTCCAGTGTTTGCTCCAAGTGTGGCTTCTGCTGGTTGGTGGTATGGGGTGGATATCCCAACAGAAAGACCTGGCCTCCAGGAGCTTCCTGGTCAAGGATTCAAGTATATTGCATCCAAAACAATTAGAAAACACTTTATCAGCAGAAAATCAAGAACACCCGTAGGGTTCTAGACCATGGGTGGCCATCCCAAGCCCCCTACTGCATTGGTCACAACCTGCCAACCTAGCACCAGTAGCCCTCTCTTCTGGCCCACTGCTTCTTCTTCTCCTAGGGCCAAGCAAGGGTGGCCTATTTCTTACTGAGCCCCCTGCTCCAGGCCCCTGTAGGGGTAATTCATCCAGTTGGAGCCTGACACGTGATTTCTGCTCATTCTCTGCTGCCTTCCTCTAGTCTCCTGGGGATGTGAAGGAGGAGGACGGAGGTACCAGTCAGCCAGATTCGGAGTCCTTTGCCCAGAGGTGACATTGCCACAGTTTGCTCTTCAGGAGCCTACCCGGCACAAGGTCCTAGGTTTGGGGGTCCTGTAGCTGAACAAATAAGATAAATGTTGATTGCTTACCATGTTGGTCTGTTGAAGAGGCAGGCCACAGCATTTTTCTTGTATTATCTCATTAAATCCGTACAACAATCCTAGAAGGTGGGGACTTTATTCTACTTCACAGTTGAAGACACTAAGGCATGGGGAGGTGAAGTCACGTGTCCTTGTCAAACCACCAGTAAGTGGTGCAGCCAAGATTTGAACCCAAGCAGCCTGACTGCAGCATCTTGGGTTGACACCATTGTACATGCTGCCAAATTGGCTCATTCTAGGAATTTCCCTTCTTGCCACAACACTGAGAACTGAGCTGGAGGCCATTCTGAGCAAGGACCAGTTCCCCTCCTCCCTGTGTGAAGGGAGGGAGTTGGGATCAAGAGAACAGGAATTCCAGAAAAGACACTGCCATATTGGCCATTTTTCCATAATGCTCCCCAGGCAGGGGATCTTACTTCTGATTTGCCAGGTGTCTCTCTGTTCTAATTAACACCGGAGTCAGCCCCTGCCAGGGTCCTGCCTGTAGCTGGATGCATGACCCTGTGGCTCCGGGGGTCAGTCTTCTGGGAGAGCCAGAGAGGACAAAGCAGTACCAACTCGGGTGGGGTTTCCTGTGGTGATGATCCCTTTGCCTCATCTATAAAAAGCTCTGGTATGATCTACCCCATTTATGGTGGAGGCCGGGGTGGCGGAGTGTGCGGGAGGAGGAAAAATCAAGCTGAAACAGCTCCTCTTTGCCTCCCTGGATTCTCTTCCAAAATGCTGTCAGCACTGCCAGTTGGAAAATATTTTTCTCCCTCCCTTTGTCTTCTTTCTTATTTAAAAAAAAAAAAAAAGCCATCTGGTGTCAAATTCACTCCTGGCACATCATAAAGGGTAGCACTAAAAATGTCCCTGAAAAACTAAAAGCAAAACCGCAGCAGTACACGCGGGATGGAATCTCAGCAGCCCAGAATTTCCGAGGTGCCGGGGCCTGGGAGAGCAACCGTCTGGCTGGACGGAGGAGGAAACTGAGGCGGGGCGGTGCGGGGCGGGGCGGGGCGGGGTGGGGGTGGGGGTGGGGGTGAGGTAACTCTTCCCAAAGGTTCCTCGGGCGCCTCTGGCTTCACGTTGCGCCCTGCAGCGTGGGGCCCCCCGAGCGTCCCCGGCAGACCCCTAACTGCCCCCCGGATGGCTGCGGCCCCGCGGGGGCTGGGGCGAGGTGCGCCCCGGAGCCCCCGCCGCCCCCGCTCCGCGTTCCTCCGCAGCCACGACTCCCCGAGGGCGCTGGGCCCGGGCCAGGGGGGCGCGGCCGGCTCTCCTCTTCCTCCTCCTCGCCTCCCCTCCCCTCCCCCCCCCCCCCCCGCGCAGCCCCGCGGGGGCCGTCTGCAGAGCGCAGCGCGGTCCCTGCACCCCCACCCCGCCCCCCGCCCCCACCGGGAGAGGACCAGTCCCTGCGCGCCCCCCACAACCACCGGGAGAGGACCAGTCCTGGCCACCAGCCCCTGGCCACCCCCCTCCACCGGGAGAGGACCAGTCCCTGCCCCCCCAGCGGAGTCTGCCGCGGGGGGTGAGGGGTGGGGGGCCCGGCGGGATGCAGCGCCGACCTCCCCACCGCTGTGGCCAGACTCCTGAGCGCCCGGTGGGTGCGTGGGCTTGACCTCGGCGGTGTCCCGCAGCTGGTGGTCCCCGCCGGCCACCACCCCGTCTGGCGCCCTGCGCGGGGTGAGCCTGCAAACTTGGAGTTGCTGCTCCAGTTCTGAGGATTCTTTGACGCGGAGAGAGGAGGGTGTGCAGGACCACAGAAGAAAGATCTAACCCAGTTCTTGGCCTGAATGTAAATATTTACAATCCTATTAATATGGGCGCTTTAAATACCCGATCCTGCCCATTGAGCACCAGCGGCTATCTCTGGGGCAGAGCTGGTTTCTCACCATTTCCCCTATTTTAGGAACTCGAGAGCCCAGGCACCTAGTGCCATGAGGAGTCAGAAGTCCCAACGGAGCTAGCCCAACTGAACACCCTCCCCGGAGCCACCTTGGGCTGCTGACCTCTCAGGTCAGGCAGAGCCCTTCCTGCACCCTGACCGGACCAGGAACAGGCCCCGCTTCCTCTGCTCCTGTGCTGGAGCCTGGAGGGTGGAGTGGGATTAGATAAAATTAAGCTCCCAACCCACTGAAATAGAAGGTCCAGCGGGGATTTGGCCGTTTTGTTTACTGGCATATCCCTGGCCCTGAGAACAATGCTTGGCGCATAGTAGCTGCTCAGTAAATATTTGAGCGGCTAAATGACTATAATAAAAGTCTTCAGATTGCTAAGAATTAAACACATATCCTCTCTTCTTGCTCCTTTACCCTCCATATAAATTCATGCTTTTTTTTTTCTCTTCCTGCCTCTTAAATCTCGAGCTTCGGTTTTAAAGACCTTGTGTGTTGTGTTTTATTTTAGCTTATCTGGAATAATTTTAGACTTGCAGCAAAGTTGCAAAGATAGCATAAAGACTTCTCATGTACTCTTCATGCAGCTTCCCCCACAGTTAATACGTGAGGTCACCATGGTGCATTTGCCACAATGAAGAAATTAGCATTGGTACATTACCATTAACCAGACAATGTACTTTACTTGGATTTTCGTGTTTTTCCACTCATCTCCTTTTTCTGTTCCAAGATCCAATCTGGGAATAGCTCCTTGAATTTTAGACTGGAAGACTTTTTTTTGGAAGACTTTTAATATGTAATCCAGATCTTACCGTGTAGGGTCTCTCTCCTTGGCACTGACCCAGGGGACAGAGTCCCTGGCACTAGGCTGAGCTTCCTGTCCTGGGGGCCTAGGAAACACCTTGAGCCCTGGATTTCCTGAAAGCGATATTAAGGGATTCCTCCTGGGTCTGCTTGCTGTCTCTGGTAGCATCTGGTACAAATCTGGACCCTGAGGGCTGCCCTGGGTCTTCCTCCCTCCCCCCACACCCCCACCACGCACATCCCAGAAAGAAGATGTACATGCTGCTCCCCGTGACCGGCCCCAGGTCTCCATTTCCTTTAGGACCTGACCCTTCCCTGTGTCCCTCATTACTTGGCATCCATTCCTCCGTCTCATGAGGGACAGACCCCATTCACTTCTCCCAGCCTCACTCTCCTTTTCTGCCATCCTGGAATCATCTTCTGGCCTGAAATCCTCAGGGAAGCAACTTCTGGTTTGGACTATGTTACTTGCTCACAGCTCACCATCGAGCTAGCCTTGGGATTGGAGATGAGTGGAATGAGGGACACTCCATTTATTCAGTTGGCAGGAATTATTGAGCCTGGCTGAGTCACAAAGATGAATAGTTCTGATCCTTGCTCTCCAAGATCTTATGGTCTGGAGGAAGAGACAGGTAATGCGAACGAATAATTGGGAGACATGCCTTTATAGAGATAACGTGTGTACACACTTTGGGGCAGCACTTAGGGGCAGAGCCCGGGCCCTTGGATTGTGCTGGAACACTGGGGCAGCTCCTGAGGTCATGCTTGAGTTGGGGCTTGAAAGATGGATAGGAAGTGGTAGGTGCCCAGGAAAGGGGCAGGGGGAGGAGAGAAGACACTCCCAGAAGGTGTACCTTGAGAGCAGAGCATTTTTGGGAATCTTCAGAGTCACCCAGTGTGGCTGGAACATGGGGGTGTGAAGGAGATGACAGGAGAGAGACAGGTTGGATAAATAGAACAATCAGGTCTTAGGTTCCAGAGTTAGGAGTTTAAACTTCATTCAGCGGGTGGTGAGGGCTATGAGCCCATTTAGTTCTTAGGTCACTTGGGCAGCTCTTTGGAGCCGGGACTCCAGGCGAGAAGTAATGGGGTCTGAAACAGGGTAGTGGAGTTTGGCCAGAGGGACAGACGCCAGAGAAAGTCAGAGGTGGGGCTCAGTGGATAGTGGAGTGGGGTAAGGGGAAGGGGAGTTAGGGTGACTTTGGAGTTCTTGTTTGCAGGATGAAGACAAGAGGGACTGGGGCGGGGGAGCAGAATGAGCTGGAGTTGTTTTTGCTCCCCACACATGAGCACCCTGAGCAGAGGAGAGGATGGGTATAGTGCACGTGACTGGGCTGGGCCCCAACCTCCTGGCCCAGAGGAGGACCATCTCAGGGCAGGGGGACAGGTGCTGGAACAGGCCAACTGAGGCTTGTAGCTCTAGGGGGAGCTGACCCAGGAGACCTTGGTGGGAAAGTGGAGGATGAGGAGGAGAGGAGATGGAGTGGGGAAAGAGAAGGGGTGCCGTTTGGTTCAGGGAACTAAGGAGAAGGTCACCACGTCACTGCAGATGCAGAAGCCAGAGGAGGTCTCAGCACCCTCCTCTAACCTGGGGACAGACTAGATGGGGGCCAGGCAGTCTGTGGGGCCCGGAGCGAACACTCAGAGCTGAGGAGGTGAGGAGGTGCGGCAGCTCCCCTGTCTTTGGGCATTTCAGGACCTGCTGGAATTCTGGAAGGTGCTGAAGTTCACCCCGAGACTGCTTCTTCCGGTTGTGGGAGGGGCAGGGGCACCTGAAAACACTCATGTGGACAGTTCAGGTGGCTAGGAAGGGATGTATGGCAGATTTTTAGTCACTATCGCCACAGAAACCCCGATTCTTAGCTGGACCCTGTCAAGAATTATGAATGTCTGTGATATTATCCTATTCATAAGCTAACAAGCCCATGTCGTAGCTGCTGGCAGGAGCCGAGGCTCCTGAGTCTGAGACTAGGGACATTTTGTTGTTCACAGCAAGGCAGTGGAACCGTGGCAGCCTCGGTCCTCACAGGGCTTCACAGATGCCTGGACGCACGTGGGTTGCATTTCAGGAGATGGACTCAAACTTGGGGAAACCAAATCTTTTATAATGGGCGGCATGCCTGCCCCTTGCTGTGGAGGGTGGTGCGGAATACCTTCCATGGATGTTCGCTATCCTGGAAATGAAATCTGGAAGAAAGGACAGTCAGTGGTTCACTTGTGAGACACGAAGGAGTGGACTAGAACCGTGCGGAATTGTCTGCCTCCAGACGCATGGCCCTAGACAACCAGCAGTATGCTTCCAGGCTCCCTTGCAGCTACGTGAAACCGTCGAACTAAGTCATTGTCTCCTGAGTGTGCACTTTTGCGTGGCCGCTTCTGGGAAATTGCAAAAGCTGGCTGGCATGGCCCTGCCCTGGGTTCCCTCCTCCCACCTTCTTCTGTCCTGGTGGCTGCCTTGGGGACAGGGTGTTGGGGCGGGAGCGCCGCCGTGTGGGGCCAGGAGGGGCGGGTGAGGGCCAGGGAGGCTGAGCCCCGGGACGCAGAGGCCTGGGTCTCTGACGGTGGTGGAGCTTACAGATTACGGTGCTGATGATCTTCAGGCTGCTTCACGTGAGGGGAAAATAAACCCCATCCTCTGTCAAGTGTTGTTGTTGTTGTTGTTGTTGTTTGCTTCATGCAGCCGAATTGGATGCTGCAGGAGGAGGACGCGTGGGGGTTAAATCTGTCAGTGGAGAGAAGGGTGAGGGGCACTCTTCCCGGCCCCCTCACTCAGCCTCAGCGGAGACGGGGGAGGGGTGGGGAGTCGCCTCTGGCTTGTTCGCCACCCAGTGGTGTCGCCCCATTCACAGGGGGGCCCGGGTGGCCACGCGACCCAGCAGCGCCCACTTGAAGACCGCAAGCAACAAGCTGACTCCATTCACAAACCCTGTCCTCCTTTGAAAACCAATCACCGTGCAAAGCGTGACCGGGTGGTGGCCAGCAGCGGCCCATCTGTCATGCCCTTTCAGCGGCCAGGCGCAGGCGGCCCTTGCCTTTGTACCCAGGACACACACCGTAAGGAGATCACAGCGCCTCCTGAATTATTCAGGGCTGCCCGGGTGTCGGTTCTATTATACACGTGCAGGTCGCTCCGGCCTCCTGACCTCCAGCCCTGCGGCCCCGTGTCCTTCCAGGCTTTTCCACTGGCTGCTTTGGGCCTGTGGCTGCAGACCCCCAGGCCCGGGCGCCCTAATTTGCCTTGGCCTGCTTCCTACCTGCCCCTGGGCGCCAAGGCCACCCTGCAGGCCCCTGGTCTCTGCCCGGCGACTGTCCTCCCCGCCACCCCAGCAGCCCGGCCTCCTCCCTGTCTCTTCGGGTCTCGCCGCCGGCCGGTGACATCTCTCTCCCGAGTGCCTGCCCGCTGGGGACATGGCAGCGGCAGGAGCCTCGCTTCTGTGGGCCTCCCTCGAGGCCCGGTGCTCGCAGGCCCTGCGGTCTCCCCGCCAGCGCCCCGGTCCGGCCCCAGGCCAGCCTCTCCCCCTCCCCTGGGCTCCCAGGCGCCCAGCTCTCCCCTGAGTGGGCCCGGAGAGTTCCCCCCAGCTGGTAATGAGGCAGAGATGGTAATGCACAGTTCAGAGTAATGAAATGCAGTGATATTTCAGGCCTGACAGACCTATTTCTGGCAGCCTTAGAATTAAAGTGTGAGGCTTTGTACTGCAGCTGCTACTAGGAGCCTTCAGAGTTTTTCTAAAGATGTGAATAAAGCTTCCAGGGTTTCGGCTCAGATCACTGGGGCTATTTATCCTGCTGCTGCTTTCATTGTACCTTTTCATTTGAAATTTTAGAGCTTTTAGATGAAGGAAACACAGCAGCAAGTGCAAAGCATACAAAATATCCTGGTGGGGGGGAATGTCCTGGTTTTCCTCTGCGATTGTCCACGCGGCTTTGGGAGGAAGAGCTGCTGCAGGGCGGCCTGGCCCAGGGAGCCGTCCCTGGGTCCCCCCGTGCGTGCCGTCCTCCTGGGCTCCTGCCCCGCTGCGTCCCTGCCGCCGAGATTGATGGGGCCCGTCTGTGCCCCTCTCGCTTTGGGGGGTTGTGCTAGGAAGAAGCAGATCCGCCCGGGCCCGGCAGCCACAGCTCATTTTCTAGACTCAGCCAGAAAGGCCAGCCGGCTCATTCCCATCTCGCCCCCAACCCCATGCCACCAGGGCCACCAGGAGGCTTGCAGGCCTCGGCCAGGAGGGCCCGCAGGGCTTGGGCTCCGCTGTCCAACGCACCGGGGGTGCATCTCGGCTCTGTGCACCACCTGCAGCGCCCAGGGTGGGCCATCTACTCTCTTTGGACTTTGGTTTCCCCGCCTGTGAAATGGGGACAATGCTGCATCATCTACTGTCCTTGTGCTGGACGCGAGGTGCCCCCCACACGCGGAGCGGCAAGGCCTGTCGGTACCGTCGAAGGCGTCTCAGGAGTCAGGATAGC